ATTTTGAGCAAAGGAAGGCAGACAGTACTAATTCTCTGTTTCTGTCTATGGAGGTAAAGGATTGTAGATGATTCCTAAATGCTCTTTTCCCCTTCTTGTAAAAATAGAATATAGATTACGGTCATGCACTGAAATATATGGAGTATGTTCTTCTAAAAGGGTCAGATGAAGAAATCACAGGCATAGCCTACAATAGACTTGACAGTTTTATTAAGCAACTTTTTGATTCTAAGTATATGAGAGAAGACTGTCTCTTTCTCAGCTCCCCTTCATTCATTTGCAACATGTAGTCCACTGCCCAACAATTTCTAACTTCTGCTCCCTTCCTGTCCTATTTAAACCATTTACATTTTAGAAACATTAGTTCTTCAGCACAAAAAAGTGCTGCTCCTTATTATCTGGCCCCTTCTTCTGCTAAGTACTGTATTGTTGCGCACACATCTCTGCTCTAAGCCCCCTCCAACTTCCCTGACGCCTCACCATGTCACCTATCTCAATTCTCAACTAATGCCCACCATCATTTATCTCCCGCTCCTTGCCACAGCCCCTAATACCTTTTCTCCTACCCACACATCTGTCCTTGAGGCTTCATTACCTCATCAGATTCATAATTGTAATTTATATTTTTTCCAAAAATACTATGAGTTTTTATGCAGTGTCTGTAGAACTTGGTACTCCCCCAAAATGAGAAACAAAATATATCACTTTGACACAGGTGAAATGCTGTAACATTCAACTCTATTCTTGCCAAGGGTCAGATCCATTGGGTGTATGGCAGGTTCACTGGCCACTGCACACTGCATTGGAACCACCCTGATCACATGACAGCAGGCAAGGTAAAAAGCACTGTGGTAACTCAGTCAACATAACCCCAGGGTGACCCATTTAGCTGGAGAGTTAGGTGTGCAGCTATCTTGGGAGCCCAACTCTTTCAGGAATGCTTTTTCAATACTGGCTCTACACAGAAGTGGGTGCTATGCACTAATTAGGACAGTGAGTGCCAATCATTTTGGCAGCCATGCCACAAAGTAGTTCTGCACATCGCTGAATGCTGCTGCAATCCTCCTTCTCCTACCCAATCAGTTTCTCTGCTGTCTGCTCCCTGCCCTGTGCTCCCTGCCTAACCTGTTGCTCTGATTTCTGCTCCCTGCCCTATCTGTGGGGCTGGTTACACATTACAGTTCACACATGCTAAATGTTATGTCATGTCTCTGGAAGTTATGAAATGAATGTTATATCTCTGACCTGCACAGGTCTGATTTGCTGAGTGAGGGCTGGGGAGCAGGGCAGGTGTGGCTAGAGCCAGATGCCTGGATTCTAGCCGTGCTTTCGGAGGGGTGTGCGGTCTAGCTCTGGGAAGCTGGTGGGGAGGGGCATGACAGGGGAGAACTGAAGGGGGCACAGGGCTACTATGATGAAGAATAGCTGAAAAACTCTCTCTCTCTGACTATTGTTAGCTGCAAGAGAATAGCCATAAAAAAGCAGGCAGCTAGCAGCATGGCCACCCCATACCTCCGTGATCCAGCTTCCCCTGCCAGCACAGAGCCACAGCTGCTGACAGGAGGTTAGTACAGCAGAAGCATGAAGCTTGCTTCTCTACTTCCCGGTGGCTCCATTTTCCTGCTGCACCAATCCCCTCCTGGTGGCTCCACACTTCAGCTTCCCCTGTGAGTGGAGTGTCGGAGCTGTCAGGAGGGGGTTTGATGCAATGAGGACATGAAACATGCATCTTTGCCTGCCAGTGACTCCACACACCTGCCGTGCCATCCCCCCCTTCCAGCGGCTGCACCTCCACACTCGCGGGGGAAGCTGGAGTTATATGGGGCATGGAGTCACCAGGAGGGGTGTTAGAGCATGAAGCACGTTTCTCCCCCTCCTGGAAGCTCCATGCTTCCACCATACTGCCATGGGTGAATTCAGCTTTCCCACGAACATGGAGCTATGGATGCCAGGAGGGTGGCTAGTATGGCAGGAACATGGAGGACTGGGGCAGCCATGCCACCCCATCTGTCTGCTCAGCTTGGAGCTGCTGTACTGTACAGGGGCCCAGCTGTGGCAGCACCAGCACTGGTAGGGTCCTGCCTGCCCCTGGGCAGTAGTATTCGAAATGGTGGCTAAATCTTCCATGGAACAGGTGTTGGGGGGAGGGGTTAGAGGCAATGTATCCTGGGATGTTGGAGGACCTCAAATTGTTCATTTTATTCCCATGAAGCAGCACTGCATGTGCTGCATAACACGAGCCAGAGATACTCCTCATCCAAAGTGGCATAACTTTGCAGTGATCTGAACATGCTTGGAATATGTTTTCCTGCTTGAATGTGCAGATACTCACATTTTAAGTGCATTTAACATGTCAAGGGCAATGAGTAACAAGGCCCTGTCACCATGATACCTGTCTCCTCCCTTATCTGCCACATACCACACAGAGACTGCCCATGCCACTTGTGGCATTTGTACCACAGATTGGTCACCCATATATTGATCAGAGCTGTGGCTTAATTCCCCAGTGTGCTCAAAAAACATTAGTAGGATTCAGCAGACATGCTTTTTTTGGGTAAATGTGATATCTTTTATTAGACCAACTAAATAGTCAGAAAAATTGTTCTTTGCAAGCTAAGTGGGTGCAAACACCCTTCTTCAGGCAGAGGGAGAGGAGAGTCCATCAGCTTTCAATAAGATCCCTTTTATCCCCTTCAGGGAGGTATGCCTCTGGAACCCCTTACTTAGCTATCCTCAGATATGGAATATTAATTCTTAACTTGCACATCTATGCAGCGCATCACACTTCAGGGCAATTTGAGTACACATCTGGATTTCAGAACATTTGGAAGGGCCAACCTTTAATTGGAAATGGGTTCTCAATTGTATCCATATCAGATCTTGTGGCTATGCTGAAGCTGTATCTTGCAAAACCCAAGGGAGCTAATTAAGTATACAGAACCTTTTAAGTCACATTTCTGGAAAAGTGACTTACTTAAGGTTGCACAGTGAGTCACTGGTAGAGTGACTAACCAAACTGAGATGTCTTAGCTCATGATTAGCTGCTCTAATTCCCAGTTGGCACCACTTTCTTGCCCTGATAGCTTAAGAAATTAGATAACAGTAAAGGGAAATAACTAGGGAGAGTAAGGAAAGTAAGTGAGGATCTACTCTTAAGCTACTGAGTTGTTCTTGTACACTGGGTTACTGTTCAGGGTGCATTATTTCTTTCAGAGATTGAATTACTATTTGCATTACTGATTTGCATTATTTGGTTTGATCACTGTTTAAAAATGCTTCAGATGGTGAACTTTTAAAAAACATTTTAATTCTACTGATCCAGCTCCGTGCCTCAGGCCATGATGTTACACTTTTCCTAAGAAATTGTATGCATTATGAATAACAATCTGAGTTTGCTTATATTTATTGTATATTATCCAAATATGTTAATTTTCTTCATCTAGCCTGATGTTTTCACGGAGCAGGTAAGGTAAACATCAATATTTTCTGTATTTTTAAAAAAATGTAATAGTTTATCCACTGCAGGTTTAGAACACGTTACACAGAGGAAGTTGTATTCATTCTGGCATAAATTTTTGGCCAGTACCGGAACAATATACAGGTGTGTCCTTTTTTTATTCACAAAACTCCCATATTTGCAAGAACTAATGGTCATCTCTGCATTTATCTTCTGGCTGGCTGATGAATACAGGATTTTGTAACCTCACATGGATATGCCTCCACACTTTGCAGGCCCCATTAGTAGAGGACAGATTAAAATTGGGCTCCTAATTCCTGCTAACTTCATTCTATACCACCTACTGGGAAAATGAAATGCAGTATGCAGCTCAATCAGTAAAGCATTATGCAGTTTCATCAGTAGAGAATATGATAAAATTTATAAAATTACAGCTACTTTCTGGATCTACTCATAGAGTATGATGTTAATCACAAATTTTCTAGGTAGACTGACAATCTACCTAAAGCTTCAACTACTGACACGTCATACTGTCCAAATCTGTATGAAAGCAAATCAGATTGTCAACAGAGAACTTGGGACCAAGTGGACAAGTTCTATACTTTGTATATTTTACTTAGTTCTTACTCAGCCAAAATTCCCTCTTGACACAAAGGATTTAAGACTGAATAGGAGCTGGGTAAAAATGAATGAATAGTTCAGGATTTGGCCCAAATATATGCAATTCAATCAAAAGGATAAGTCAACAGCAAGTCAACAGCTTCTTTATTACTCAGAAATGACAGATATGTTTTAACATGGTACTTCAAAGTTTCTCTTTAGTTGTTTCAAAATGAAATGGCAACCCACAGGTGTGACACATCCCAGTATTGCAAGTTAGCTCTTCGGCATCTCGCACCATAAAGATGGCAGAGTACCTAAACACTGTGCATAAATCTCCAAGTATAGTTCTTGGAAAAAACAGAGTTCTACAGGAAATACTATATTTATTGTGAAAAATAATTAAATTATATATGTACTGTGTTTCAGTTCAACCAGTAAAGGTTGTAGCAGCCAGATGCACATATACAAATGCGTCCCGAACTTGTGCATGTGGATTCTTGCTTTCATGTATCTGATTATGTAACTCATAAATTAATAATACTATGCTACAATTTAGTACAAAATTCAAAGGCAGAATTATTTATTAAGAAAGAGACTGAAAGTTAATGTGTTAGGTGGCAGTATGGTTCAACAGTTCATTATTTATAGCTCCAGCTAGCCAAAGGAAGGTGTCCACTTAGAAACAACTAACCCTTTCCTCATTTCACTCCCTTAACTGTCAGGAGTTTATTTACAAAAATCAAGCATATTTAAACCAAAAAACTCTATTTATAGTTTTTGTCTATTGTTAGGTAGATGAACTAGTCACATCAAGTGAACTTTTTGGAATTAAATTTATGAACCAAATTCAATGGAAACTGAATAGGAACTAATTCTTATAAAATATCATGGCTATAACTGTTAAGAAGTGTGAGGTTATAGACTGTAGAGGACATCTTACCTCTCTGATGTCCCTCTGATATTTACTGTTCATTTCTTCTGTTTTAATAAGCTCCTTCCTGGCAGTCTCAGCTTCCTGCTCTACCTCTCCAACTCGGGAAGACAGTGCAGCCAAACGCTCTTTCATTTGTGCCATTTCATAGTTTTGCTTTTCAAGCAGTTCCTGTAGTTCCACCATTTGACTGGCTTCATCATTTGAATCTATGGAGCCATTTGACAGGCGCTGTCAGGAGAGAAATAACAGTATTTTCCATTAATAGCTCAGAATATGTCTAGAGTATTTTTTAAGCAAGTATGAGTAGCAATTAAATGACAAAATATTACAAGTATTTTCCAGTAAAAGATAAAATGAAAAGCAGCTATTCTAATAAACAACAAAATGCACCCAATATTCTAATCAATAAAATAATCTGTCCATAAAAGACAGATGAAGGAAATTCCAGTTATAAAACCTAACGCTAAAAACAGAAACAGATATTCATATTTAAAGCAAATACTTAATCCCCCAAACAAAAACAAAATGTCATTAGTTTAGTCTTATGACTCCAGTGCAAATCCTACAAACAGTTCCTGAAAGTCAAGACCAATCTCCACCAATTATACCAATCTTTATTCACATGTCTTAACTAAAGTAAGAATACCATCCAAACACACTCAACTCCCATTCATAGTCGTTCACAACGTACATACCCAGTTACTCTGAATCAAAGGCAAACCCTCACAAATCAGTAAGACCCAGTCTCTACACAAAGCAGGTCCACACTAAGAACTTTCACCGTTACAGAAATGATGTGGGAGGACAATTTTTACAGTGCCTTTATACTGGCAAAATCGTTATTGTAAATGCAGTTACAACAGCAGAAGAGTGTCTCTAGTTTATTTTGTTTGGAGAACCAGTATAAGCTATCTTAGCATAAAATACTGCTTTGTTTGCATAAGATCTAGCTACACCAAAAAGGCTTGGTGGTATAAGTAAAGATCTATTTGTATATAGTGAGATAGGCAATCTTTTCTAGTATAAACTAAGCCATAGCGAAGTTTTGAGTTTGTTCTTTTATCAGTTTAACTACCTTGGTTGGCGTGTGTTCTGATTTTACCTTAGTAGTTAGATGGAGGCATTTACAACTATGTAAAAATAATAATTTTTACTAGTACACTTAATGCTTACTAGTGCTCACACCTGAATTTATGGGTATTGTAGCAGGACACTAAGGTGTCTGCTACTGAGAGAGTGCGGAAGACTCCTCAGGTGCTGGTTCCCAAGGCAACAGGAGCCAGCAAACGACCCACACCTGCCAGCGGTCAGCTGGCTATAAGAGGCAAGACTTGGCTCGTATGAGGAGAAGGGGAGTTGAGACCAGAGGCAGTTGCTGACTGGCATCTAAGACAGTAGGAGTTCCCTACCAACAGGGAAGGATGAGGAAACTCCTGGCCAGAAGAGAGAGAACCTGAATGCCAGAGCAGTATTGGTCACCGTGGTAGGAGAGAAAACCCGGTAGGCCTGAGCCTAGTTATAGCTGGAGGCTTATGTTTGTGTTGTAGCCCAGGGGCTTGTGTTTATGTTGTTGTTTGTGTTTGCAGTTTGTTTAACACTGGTGGTTTGGGTGAGGCTATAAGGGGATGGAGGAGGCCTCATAGGGGACTCACGATAGAGTGAGGACCCCAGCCCCAGTGAGGGCACGGAGTTCGGGGGTTCAGACCCCAGCTCCACAGAAGTTCCCGGTGAGAGGGCAGCACTGCAGGGAAGGGCCCCGGTGAGAGGGGCAGCCTTGCAGAGGGAAGAGCCCCGGTGAGAAGGGTGGCGTATAGAGAAGGCGCGCAAGGCCTAGATACGCCGGACACCCGGAGCAGGAGAACTGTGGCCAAGTGGAGGAGAGGTAGCCTCCCTACAAAAGAAACATATCATCCAAGTCATGGCGGGCGAGAATAGGAGGGTGCAAATCTGAAGCTTGGCACAGTAGAGGAGGCGGCAAGGGCTAGCACGGCGACCCTGCCGTCCCTCCTGTTCCAGGTATAAATGACAATACAAGTGTTCTTCACTCCAAAAACTAAAGTAATAAAATTAAAGCAGTACAATGTTTAAGTACAGGCCAAGCTTACATCCAAATAAAAGTTTAAACACCTTTATACTAGTATAATTGCATCCTATTTAGGGCATTATAGTTATTCCAAACTAACTGTTGAAAACACCACCTGTTTGTATAATATTCAATATCACCAATTCTGCTTGGAAAAATTTTACCTGGGTCTTCTCCCCCCACTCTTTTTTTTCTGACTCCCTACCCTTTGTGTGGCCAGCCAGAGCACATGGCTAAGATTCATTAGAATGCACCTGAAATCCTTTGAATTCGTAACAGCCTGCAAATATGCAAGTTATCTGGACCACTGGCCTTTTGGAAATACACATAACACACAAAACCAAATCAGACTCAATTTATATGGAAGGAAAACCACGTGCTGGTTGCTGAGTTTCACCACAAAGGGAAGTAGGGGAGACAAAGAGATTGTGGAAAGCTGGGAGCTGATGACAGGTTGCAAGAATACAGTGCTACAGCTGCCACTTTATACTGCCCAGTCCTTTCAGAGTGGAGCTCTCTTGATCCATAAGAGTATTTGCCCACCACTGAAAAGCCAGGAGTACATCACTGCATACAAGGTGCATGTCTGCGTGGATGGAACTGTACTTTCTCCTGTTAATACATCTGTGTTATCATCATCAGTATACACCCTATATAAGAGTATACTTACCAATTCAAAGAATGTCACTTTATTAATGGACTTTAATTACATCCTTTCCTAACTCAGCTATAAAATGAACCCAGACCATATAGTTGTTCCAACTCACCTGCATTTCTCAGATCACTGAATAAGATTATTTTACACCAGAGATTCATTAGGTTGAAAAACTCAGCTCCAAAATTACTTTCTGTATACTAGCTAATTATCTTATGCTGAAACTAAGTGTTAATTACCAAAACATAATTGATCTACTTTTGTGATACTACAGTATTACAATAATAGTGCACCTTGAAAATATTATTTCCATTTAATTTTGTCCATCAGAATATTGCACATGCTACAAATACATAGGATAATAAAATACTGCTCAGCCACCATAAAATATATCATACCATATTTTGTTCCAACTCATGAATTTTATGCAGATCTTTTTTGCTCATGATTACTGTAATGCTACTTTTGTGGCTTTAGTTTCATATAGCAATTTTAGCAATTATGACAGATGGTATAAGCCATAAACAGATGGACAAACTTTAGGATGTTTACCTTGCCTTCTCATTCCTTACATGGTACAGTATGAATAGAAGCTAAATTATAATTAAGATCAAATCTCAAATATGAAAAATTAACATGATCCACTCATTTGCCATATATGACCTAAATATTATCATTTCATAAACAATAATTTTTATTTTCTAAAATATGCTCATTTATCATTTTATCAAAAATAAAAACAAAATATTACTATCTTTATTCCTTAAGTGGTTACAATAATTGAAAAAAAACACTCATACAAATAAGTGAAGGATCTGAACACTTTCTAATAGATGGCTTAGGACTACATCCTATTTCTCTTCACATGTCTAGATGGTGTGTAAGCAACCGTATAACTACAGCTAATATTGACAATTACACATAATCTCAGATTTTATTTCACTGTGCAACAATGAGTTGGCTCTGATGGATACACAAAACTAGAAAAAAAATCTCTGTTGGGACCAGGGGTCTGGTCTACAATCTAGTGCCCTTTCCTTTCCATGGCATTATCCATCTCAGTGGATGGATACTCTTTGACTTGCTTGCTTTTCCCTGGTCCAACATATCTCCCTCTCTTGGCTGCTTAGTGGGTTAGCTTAAAAAGGAAGACTGGAGAATGGTTTGGATAATACCTAACTTGTGGCCTGGTGGTTAGGACACAGCTGGGAAGCAGGAAATGCACGTAAGTTTTTCCCTCCCTAGGCCAGTGGCTGAACAAATAGGCTGCTGGGCTACAACATAGGGCTGCTGCCTCCTCCTCATGTCCAACACCTACTAGCTATGGGGTTTTGCCCACTTACAATACCTAGCTTACATGCATACCTGGACAAGTGTACATAGCCACAGACTTGCCCTGTCACAGTGTAGCCCTACTGAGCATGCTCAATGAATAAACATACACATAGAACAGACTGTATGCTATGTGTAAGTGCTAGAAACATCAAGTTCTGTAGTTGGGCATGTACTATTTAGACAAGTAAAGTGAAATACAATTATGACCTTAATCCTTAGTCAAAATTTTCAAAGGAAGTAGATAAAAACTTTTTCACAATCCTTCAAAAGTAGATATGCATTATCTATGAAGAAATTTTTTTACGTGAACATACTTTATTTATAATAAAATATTTATGGGAATTTTGCTTTAATTTAATGAGTCATTCATTTTGCATTTGTCATACTGAGCAACTGACCACCTGTATTAGATACAGAGCTGGATGAAACGTGGAATTTTCAATTTGCCAGAAACTTCAACATTTAATTTTTTTTTCACTGTAATTCAGAAAGAAAGTAGACATTTTTAAAAATCCCCATGTATTGGAAGTGTGAAATATTTTTGAATTTCAGGAGTTTTCATTTTAGAAGTCTAAAATTTTAATTCAGAACTTTGTTTCACAATTTTAGTTCTTTTTTTTTTTTTGCAGGGATTTCATAACACCTTTTCAGTAGAACACTTTTTCACCTGAAATCAGTCCTCAAAAATTAGGGTGTATGTCTTGAAGTGGGGTGGCTAATTTTTTGCACTGGAAAGAAGTAATGGAAGCACAGATGGCATCTGTACTGGTTCCCCTGTTTCTGTTACTGACAACTATAGAGGAGGAATTAATTGTTTAGGGTCAGAGCTACGGTGTTGACCCTTTCATGGCTGCTGCTGAACTGGCAGTAGCTTTTGGCTGAGCAATTCAGCCACAGCCGTGACTGCTGTAAAGGGTTAACACTGCAGTGGTTTATTTTATTCTATTTTAGTTTTAAACTGATACCCAAAGGACTGAGCCATGACCCTGGAAATATCCGTTTTTGTTTCATTCTGCTGGCCCCAAAAGAAGGTGCGTATCTTATTTGGGGGTATGTGAAAAAATATAGTAATATGAACTAATGGCAATATGTATTAAATAATACAATATTCATTACAACAGGAACTGTAATCCACAGTTTTTTACTTCCCAGGAT